CTAGTTCCAGCTAGTTGTGGCTAGCTGCGGCTAGCTGTGGCTAGCTGTGGCTAGCTGTGGCTAGCTGTGGCTAGCTGTGGCTAGCCGCGGCTAGCTGTGGCTAGCTGCAGCTAGCTGCTGCTGCTGATTTTGGCCTTCAAGCTTGAATATGATGTATACAGTCCCGAGATGCTATGCGCAACGAGCCAGTAGCTAGCCACAGCTAGCCACAGCTAGCCACAGCTAGCCACAGCTAGCCACAGCTAGCCACAGCTAGCCACAGCTAGCCACAGCTAGCCACAGCTAGCCATAGCTGGCTGCAGCTAGCTGCAACTGGGCGGAACTAGCCATAGAAAACCACAATGGCTAGTTGAATTTAGACGCGGCTAGATAGCCACAGCTAGCCATGGCTAGTCATAGCTAGCCATGACTAGCCACGGCTAGATACAGCTAGCTATGCTTAGGCCCAGCTAGCCAGGGCTTGCTATAGCTAGCTGTACTTAGGCCCAGCTAGCCACAGCTAGCTACAGCTAGCTTTACTTAGGCCCAACTAGCCACAGCTAGCTATTAGCTAGCCGCGGCTAGATGCCACAGTTGTTTGGAACTGCAGGTAGCTCCTGTTTTGCCGAAGCTAGCGGGGCAGCCCCAAACCCTAAACCCTAAACCCTAAACCCTGCGGTTTTGGTGGAATGAGAAGCAGCAGTTCATACCTGATGCTGAAGCTTTGGAAGCAGCAGCAGAAGATGAAAGATGGATTCCATTAACTGGGGTGTTGTTTTTAGGGTTTTGTACTTGCACGCCCAAGACCAGCTCCTAGGGTTTAGGGTTTAGGGTTTAGAGTTTAGGGTCTAGCGCCAACACGACCCATACTGACACCTCTTGTCTGGCTTCAAATTTCCCAGTAGAATCAAAGGGTCTGCGGCTTATGGCTTAACGTTTACGATTTAGGGTTTAGGGTTTAGGGTTTAGGGTTTAGGGTTTAGGGTTTAGGGTTCAAAGTTGGTGTTGGAATCGATGCAAAGAAAGGGCTTCTGCAAAAAGCGATAAAAGAACAAATTAATTTACATTATATTAGATTTAAAATGCCCTTTTATATCTATCTCGTATTTATTCAAATGGTGCTGCCATCGCTAATGAAATAAAGAGCGACTAGGGTTTAGGGTTTGCAGCCTAGGGTTTAGGGTTTAGGGCTTAGGACGGGGGGGGGCCCCTCTATGGCTTGCCAGAGGGGCCTAGAGAGCTATTGCTGCGTGTATTTAATTGGAGTTTATTTTTTTAATTATTTTAATTCAAAATAATCAAAAAACAGTTCCAAAAACATAAAAATAGACCATTTCCACCTACCCCCTGGGGCCTTCATGGGGGCCCCCCTTTCTGGAGCTAAACCATTTCGTGGCCTTTTCACTTGCCGATTTGCACTTCTCTTTTTGCATTTCATTTTTATTTCCTCAGCTTTAAAACCCCCAAAAGCAGAACACCATTTGGGGGCCCCCTTAATCAGGGGCCCCCTGGGGGCCCCCAGGGGGGCCCCCCAGGGGGCTCCCAGCACGGGGGCCCCCTGGGGGCCCCCCGTACCCTCTCCAGGGTTCATTATGCGCGCTTCTGGGGGCCACCTGCTGGCGAGGGGCCCCCTAGGGCCCCCCGGGGGGCCCCGCCCCTTGTTTGCGAAGGGCCCCCCTCCCTCTAAACGACGCAGAGAGCGGCAGAGCAGCAGCAGCAGCAGCAGCAGCAGCAGCACGAAGAACAGAGAATGTCTGAGTCTGGCGGGCCGGGTGGTGTCTTGTTTGCCTGGGGGCTGGTTTAAAGTGCAGCTGGAAGCAGCAGCAGCAGAGCGAGCAGCAGCAGCAGCAGCAGCAGGTCTGTGCCCCGCGTTTGGGGGCCCCCTGGGGGCCCCCGAGGGTTTGAAAAACAAAACCCTGATTTGTTGTCTCAGCGGAAAGCTGCGGATAGGCCGGGTGTACGTACACCTCCACGACTTTGTTGTTGTTGAAACAAATCCCATTTCTCCAGAACAGGGAAGAATTGTTTTCCGAATTAAAGAAAGTGCTGCAGAACCTGCTGCTGCTGCTGCTGCTGCTGCTGCTGCTGCAGACGCTGATGATGGCGGTGATGCTGATGCTGATGATGACGATGACGAATGAGCCGCAGCAGCAGCAGCAACAGCAGCAACAGCAGCAGCAGCAGCAGCAGAAGCAAGCAGGAACGAATAAATTGTGCACAAAGGTGGAGGAGCAGCAGCAGCACCGCCTAATTATTCTGCAGCAGCAGCAGCAGCAGCAGCAGACACTACTGCCTAGCTGCTGAGCCCTAAACCCTAAACCCTCGAACTTTCATCTGGGACGCCAACTTTGTGGAATTTGGTCTTAAACCTTTTTTTCGAGCGCTAGACCGTAAACCCTAAATTAGGGTTTGCAGCTTCAAACCCTACATCTGAGCTGGTCAGCTAGACGCTTTAGAACTAACGCAGCGCTAAACCCTGAACCCTACACGAGACAACATAAACCCTAAACCCTAGAGGGGACGTTAAAAAGCCCCAAACCCTTTTAAAAATGCTTTATTTGAATTTCAGCTTGAAATGTTTCAAAAATTGCAATTCCGTTTTTTTAACTTCACGAAAAGTCGCAAAGAGGGTTTGAGACGCAAAGCCAAAGCCAAACCCTAGCAGCCCCACGCTAACGAGGGTTTGAGAATTGAAGCTAAACCCTAAAAGAGGGTTTGAAAGGCAGGAAAAAGTTTAGAAAAAATCAACTTGGTCAGGGGGCAGCAAACGGCTCCCTTATCATCCAGTCAAACAGTTCGAGCAAAACATTTTCCTTTTTGAGGGTTTGAGGGCTCTAAACCCTAAATCGAGGGTTTGAGGGCCCTAAACCCTGAATCGAAGGTTTGAGGGCACTGAAACCTAAATCGAGGAGCTTAGGGTTTAAAGAAGGGGCATTGAACACTTTCAAAACCCTAATGTCGGTTTATGTTGCCCGTGGCCTTGGGACTTAAACTTTACGCATTAAAATCCTCGGCTGCATTACAAACCCTAAATCAGGGTTTCTAGACTATGCCAGACAGGCTCACTCGGCTGCAGCACAAACCCTGAATCAGGGTTTTGCAACGATTGTACAAGCGCACTCAGCTGCAGCACAAACCCTAAATCAGGGTTTTTAGACTATGCCATAGAATTCCCCTTCGATGTTACACAAACCCTGAATCAGGGTTTGAAATCTATCATACAAACCCAGTCAGCTGCAGCGCAAACCCTAAATCAGGGTTTCTAGAACATATCAAAAAGGCCCTCAACAGCGAAGTCTGGCAGAGGAGCAGCAGCAAACCCTAGGCAGTGCTGCACTTATTTGAAATCCTCTCAAACCTGAACCCTAAACCCTAAACCCTAAACCCTAGTCCCTAAACCCTAGGCCCTAAACTCCTTTGCTGCTGAGTGCTCAAGCCCGAGCACTTTGAGGCGGAACCCACTAACTGCTGCGGATTCAAATTAGAGTTTAGGGTTTAGGGTTTAGGGTTTAGCGAACAACCCAAGCCCGGGCAACCGCCGTCCTGAACAAACTCCAATTTCTGCTTGAAATAAGATTTAATTAATTAAATTAACTAGACTAAAACCCTAAACCCCAAACCCTAAACCCTAAATGGTAGTTACGTGAATAGTAGTAATAAATAAAATCAGCTCTACTGCTGAAGTGCAAAGAAAGAATGAATTCGTGGGCCCTGAGCTGCTAAGACCCTAAACCCTAAACCCTAAACCCTGAAATTCCAAAGCGCAGATAAGAGGTTTAGAGGTCCACTTATGAAAGCACGCATTAGATCTAGGGTTTGGGGTTTTGGCAGCTTGGAAAACAGCGTCTGATATCTTTATGACCTCGATGCTAAACCCTAAACCCTAAACCCTAAACCCTTTTGTAAGCGCCTCAAAGACACTACCTAAATTGCCCTGAAAGGATAGTAAAAAACCCTAAACCCTCACCACCCCCCAAACCCTAAACCCTCGTTATGAACGTCACCCCGCTTTTGCGCTTTATGCGCTGTGAACAACAAACCCTCAAACGTAAGCATATCTCGAAACCCTAAACCCTAAACTCTAAACCCTAAACGATCAGATAGTGAAGACCGAAACAGGACCTAAACCCTAAACCCTAAACCCTTAAAAAGCGGCAGCAACAGATTTGAAATGAACTGGCCCTAAACTCTAAATCCTAAACCCTACACAGTAGCAAGTAAAGGCAAACCCTTGACGCTCGAGTGGCGAGACCAAACCCTAAACCCTAGGCCGAGGGTTTGCAAACCCTCAAATCCCTGCCTGCTAAGAACAAACCCTAAACCCTAAAAGCAGGTCAAGTGGTGCACGCTGCAAAAAAACAGCTGCGCTCATCCCTCCTTCGAGTCACCAGCAGCAGCAGCAGCAGCTGCTACTGCTGCAGCACAGAGCAGCAGCAACAGCAGCAGCAGTCCCTCAGCTACCTGGTGGTTTGCTGCTGCTAGATGGTGCGCTAGCAGCACTTGTTGTTGCAGACAAGGCAGCAGCAGCACCAGCAGCAGCTCCCGTTGCTGCTGCTCCCGCAGTTGCTGTTGTTTGTGGTTTCGCCGGTGCTGCTGTCGCTGCTGCGGGTGCTGCTAACGCTGCTGCTGCTGCTGCTGCTGCTGGAGGAGGAGCAGCGCTTGTTGGCGTGGGGGTTCGAGTTGCTGCAGCTGCCAGAGTCGCTGCTGCAGCGCCTGCAGCCGGAGACGCACCAGGGTTCAGCTGCTGCTGCTGCTGCTGCTGCTGGTCGAGCTGGCTGGGTTTCTTGCCCCCACTGTCGCCAGTGGGTCCCCTCTGCACTGCAGCAAAAGCTTCATCTGTTGCTGCTGCATGCAGAGCAGCAGCAGCAGCCGCAGCCTGGGCCACAGCTGCGGCGGAGTGTGCTGCTGCTGCTGCTGCTTTTGCTGTCTCCTTCGCAGTCGCTGCTGTCTCTGCAGCAACGCCTGCAGCAGGAGCAGCAGGCGTTGGGGTGTGCCGCTCAGCAGTAGCATCGTGCTGCTCTGCTGCTGCTGCTGCTGCTGCTGCTGCATGGGGCTGGACTGCCTGGGATTGCTTAGAGCGGCTGCTGCTTTCGTCTGCTACAGCTGCTGCTTGCGCGGCAGCAGCCGACGCGCGCGCGGCATCTGCAGCAGCAGCTGCTGCTGCAGTGGCCGCTGTTGCTGCTGCTGCTGCTGGAGGCAGCGTGCTGCTGGCGCCGGCTGCAGCAATGGCGCCTTGCGTTGCTGCTGCTGCTGCTGTTGTTGCAACGGCAGCAGCAACTGCTTGTGTGTTTCCTGTTGAGTCTTTATCTCGCGTTTCTGCTGCCGCCTTCACGGCAGCTGGAGCCGCAGCAGCAGCGACAGCAGCAGCTGCTGCTGTCGCCGGAGCAGCAGCAGCGGCCGCCGCTGCAGCAGCTGGAGCAGCAGCAGTCTTGGCTTGCTGCTGCTGCGCGCGCTGCTGCGCAAGTCTGTTGTGGGCGTTGGGGATGGTAAATGTGGAGGCCCCATCTGCTGCAGCAAGTGCATGCGGGTCTATTTGCTGCACTGAAGGGTCTGCAAACAGCAGCAGCAGCAGCAGCAGCAGCAGAATGGAGCAGCAGACCCGTCAGGCGCTCCCACAGCAGGAGCAGCAGGCCCCCCGCCGCAGCAGCAGCAGCACCCGCCCCAGCGCCGTGAGCAGCCCGGCAACCGGCAGCAGCAGCCGACCAGCAGCAGCAGCAGCAGCAGCAGCAGCAGCAGCAGCAGCTGACTCAGGTGGTCGAAAGGGTCCGTTTTGTTGGCCTCGTTGATGACTGCTGTGGGGTTTCGAATCCAAATGTGCTGCAGCGCCTCCTCCACTGTTATTCGCTGCTGCCAGCAAGGAGTTAGCATGCGGCAAATGAGGTCTTTGGCGCTGCTGCTGACGGGCCGCCACAGCGGGCCCTCGAAGCTGAGCGGGTACGTCTGCGGCAAACCCTAAACCCTAAACCCTAAACCCTAAGCCCAGCGAGCCCGCGGGCACACCCGCGCCAGAGGCGGGGACTCAGCCGTGCTGGGCACCGCGGAAACACAGGGCTTTGAAGGACTCCGGGGACCCAAACTCAAACCCTAAACCCTAAACCCTAAACCCTAAACCCTAGCCAGCCCGCGGGGGACACGCTCAGGCGGACGCGCGGATTCAGCGGGGCTCGAGACAGCGGAAACAGTGGGGTTTTCGCTGACACGCGGGGACCCAAACTCAAACCCTAAACCCTAAACCCTAAGCCCTAAACCCTAGACTGCGGCAATGGTCAGTCAAGAGAGCGAGAAGGCGGGAGTGGCACGGGAGAGGCACTCAGCTAACCTAAACCCTAGACCCTAAACCCTAAACCCTAAATGGGGACTATTTGATTCCGTGTAGAAGGGCCTACGAGAGAGCCTGGCTGCGGCCCTTGACTAGGACTCAGGGTTTAGGGTTTAGGGTTTAGGGTTTACCTGGTGGAAGTGGGGGGACCCCAAGTGTTTGTTGATGGGAAAAGGCAGCCGCCCCCGCAGCAGCAAATAAGTAATGACACCAATGGACCACAAGTCTGCCTGCTGGTTATAACCCTCGAGAGAAAGCACTTCGGGGGCCACGTAGCTGCAGCAGCCGCAAACCACCATTTAGGGTTTAGGGTTTACCGTTCGCCGTTCGCACGCCACGCGCGCTCCGCACCAGCAGCAGCAGCAAGATTGTCGTCAGCAGCAAGACCATCAGCACCAGCAGCAGCAGCAAGATCCTCAGCACCAACTCCAGCAGCAGGATCCCCCACCCCACCCCCATCCCCCGCAGCAGCAGCAGCAGCAGCAGCAGCAGCAGCAAGATCCCCCTCCCCACCCCCATCCCCCGCAGCCGCAGCCGCAGCAGCAGCAGCAGCAGCAGCAGCAGCAGCTGACGCGAGGGTGCCGCAGGGCTGGTGGAGGACTTCGTTGGGCCCGCAGAGCGTGGAGAGTCCGAAGTCCGCCAACTTGATAATTGCATTTTCAGTTTTGTCGGAAAGTAAAATGTTTTCGGGTTTCAAGTCTCTGTGGATTATCCCGCACTTGTGCAGGTAGTACACCGTCGACAGCAGCTGCGACACGATCCTGCAGCAGCACGCACGCTCCCGCTGCTGCTGCTGCTGCTGCTGCTGCTGCTGTCGGCGGTGTACTAGCTGC